CGTTCCGGGGTGAGGTTGCGTTTCTTCTATCTTACTGGCCTAACTAGGGGTCGATATTAGGTTTGTGAGTTATAATTTTTGGATCAATTCCAGGCATTTCTGCTGTGGACTAAGCAATAATATCTAAATTTTCAAGTAAGAAACTTACTAGCTAAGTTTGGAGTGGTTCGTTGATCGAGGCATCGATCTGGAGAGTCTTGGCCGGTTTAGCGGCAGAGACTGGTATGTGGACCGTCTCCTCTTTCGGGGCAGCTCGCTCGTCGGTATATTCTACTGGTCGCTCGAGCTCGACATCCTCTGCTAGCTTTGCTTTTTCTTTTAGGGCAGCCACGTAGTATTTACGTGATTCGAGTTGGTCACCTCGCACGACTCCCACTTCGTAATCAGTTGGGAACTTCATCGCCAAATAGTAAGTGGATACTATCGCACGTAGAACATTCGTGATGGGCCGACCTACTATGGCGCTGTAGGGGGAGGGAGTCGCGACTACCAGGAATGTGTGCTGAAATCGCACGATGTTTGGCCACGTACCGGCTTCCACGGGTACTGTGATTCGACCAAGAGGTCTGACCTCCTCGCCGCTGAACCCTACCAAAGGAGTATCTATCGGTTTCAAGTCGCTCTGTTGTAACTATAGTTTGTCGAAGGTCTCCTTGAAGAGTATATCTGCTGAGCTATCTGAGTCCACCAAGATGCGCTTTATCTCGAAGTCATTAATTCTTAACTTCCCCACTAAGGCATCATCGTGGGGGTATTGGATCTCATGCGCATCGTCCTTAGTGAAGTAGATCGGTTCTTCGAGCCGAGGTCGCTTTGGCGGGTTCTTCCCTTCATTCTCTAACTCACGGACCGAGGTTCTCCCAGCTTCTGATGTACATCCGACGATGATGGACCCGCTGGTGATCATGTTAATTACCCCACGAATCGGTCTTTCCTCTAGCAATTGTCGTGGTGGTTGCTAATTTTGCCTATTGACCTCGGGGCCATTCCTCTTCTGGTCCCCCTGTCGATCTGCCTACCGATCTGCTTGTCCCCTCTCTTCTCGCAAGATGAAGTTTTTCAGGTATCCGCGGTGGATAAGTTCCTTGATCTCATCGCGGAGATTCTTGCAATTCTCTGTGTTGTGTCCATGATCTCGGTGGAAATGGTAGTAAACATTTGGGTTTCTTGTTGCTGGGTCTCCCCTTAGCCTGGGAGGCCATTTGACGAAGGAGGAGTCCTTAGTAGCCATTAAGATCTCTCATCGCTTAGCATTCAAAGGCGTGTAGCTCGTTCTCTCCATAGGTGGGGTCCTGGAGCGCCGACTTGACTTGCGAGTTCGTGAGGGGGACCGACTTCTTGACTTGCTTCTTCCCTTGCTCGGGGACTTTTTCTTCCTTTTCTGCCCACCATTACTCGTTCCTTCAGTCTCTCTCTTCCTCTTTTCCGGCGGTGGGTTGTCGATCTTTTGATTGATCTCCTCCTCGGTACCGATGAACTGATCTGCTAACTTGAGAAATTCGGTGATGTCCTTTGGTTTGTTAGATACCACATGCCACTTAAACTCTTTATGGGTGATTCCTTTCTTTGCTGTAGTGAGTCATACCGTCAGGTCGAGGTCCGGTATCTACAAACAAGTGTCGTTGAAACGTTTTTTGTAGCTTCTAATTGATTATCCTTCCCTCTGAACCACATTTAGAAGGCATTCCTGTGATTTCAGACACTTCTTGCTGGTAATGAAGTGCGCAGTAAACAGGTCGGCAAACTAGGACCAGCTTTTGATGGAGCCCGGTGCGAGGTTTTGATACCAAGTTCGGACTACCCCCTTAAACGTAGTGGAGAAGGCCACACACATGTAGGACTCATCAGCCCCTGCTAGGTGCATCTGAGACTAGAAAGAGTCTACATGGTCGTTGGGGTCGAACGACCCGTCTTACTTGTCTAACGGGGACATCTTAAAATCTTTTGACATTGAGTTGCCAAGAGCTCGAGAGATAGAGGGGATGACCGACAAAGTAGTGCGGGCACATTCTTCGTAGCCACCGAGCTCGCTTCTTCCTTTCCTTTGGCTTGCTCTTCTTGCTGGCCTGGCTTCGCCGGAGGGCTGTTCCTGGCCGAGGGAAGGCATGTTTTGTGACGTCGCCGCTGCTGCTTCTTCATCGGCTCGGCGTTGGTGCTGCAGACTTCAGTCTAGTCTGGTACTTTGGCCTTGTCGCGAGGTAGATCCTGGTTCCTTCTCGTTGGATTCTCTTGGTTGTGGGGCTTGAACTGGCTATCACAAGGGACGGAGAGGTCTTGTCTCAAGTTCGCACCTCGAACTCCAAGGCGGATTGGTCCTGTTGGGCTGACTATCCCCGGACCTGTTTATGAGATTTCCTTGCGAGACTGGAGGAGTGTGCTGACCATCTCTCCTCCCACGGGGCAAAACCTGACTTCTGAGAGGAATCGGTACTTGCGAGGTCTCTTCACTCCGATGGGGAGATCGGCTGATGTTCTGGTTGGTTCCGGGCCGATTCGGGTTCTGGCCCTGACAGGGCCCTAGGTGTCGGGGTGGAACCGACTTCTGGTTTGGCTGTAGTGGAGGGAACTGGTGATGATACTGCTGGAACTGTTGGACTTGCTGCATCTGGATCTGAATTGCCCGGATGCACTGAACGAGGTCATGGAACTGGGAATGCCCGATTCCGGGGGGAACCACGGATGGCTCAGAGAAAGTTGCGCCCACCATTGGGGGAAGTGGGACACTCACTTGTGTGCTCTGTGGTGCGGACAGTGACGGAACTCCGGACACTATGAGCAGAATTGTGAACTGGCCGATGCATACCGTAGGACCTTGGGGGAAGGTTGATTGCTGAGCTTGACCCCCGATGACGTTCATCTCAGTACTTTTTCCGGTGTGGCTAGAAGATGCCATTGAGGTTGAGATTGAGTTTGAAACTATAAAGAGATAGGGATGACCTTCCGAACGGTTCCCACAGACGACGCCAAATTGATGGTGCGCGATCTGGCTACTCCTAGCTAGAAGGCAATCCGAACTCCAATTGGGCAGCGAGCTGGATTAATCTGCAAAATAGTGGATCGGAGAATCCGGGGTAGCTAACCCGGTAAGGTCACTCCGATGCTTAAGTCAGTACTTATGCTGTGAATGCGAGCTGAATGCTTGAGAGCTTGAGTGCTAGTGAGTAGAGTAATCACACGTACCTTTACCTTGAGGTTTCATGTATTTATATATTGGAGTAGACCTATTCATGGGCCGGGTGGCCCGACGGCCCTCGGACGGGCTTGAACAAGCTTTTTGGCCCGCGGGCTTAACCTCGGGCCAAAAAGCCCGGCTCGCATAAAATTCGAGCCGAGCTCGGGCTTTGCCAAAATAGCCCGGTCCAAGCCCGAGCCGGCTCGACCTATACTTAAACCTAAGTAAAAGCCCTATGTGATGTCCATTTGAATAAATTTTTTGATTTAAGAAGGTTGTTGATTCACTTGTAGGCCCATTGTTCATTTAAATAGGGGAAAAAATATCTGAATTAAAATAGATAATGGCCATTTGAATAGGGAAAAATTCGAATTTCTTTTATTAGGTCGGGCTTCGGGCTTCGGGCTCGAGCTTCGGCCTTTTTATTAGGGCCGAGCTCAGGCCGAAGTGGTAGGCCCGTTGGTCGGGCCAGGCTCGGGCTCGGGCCTAATATTTTTTTGTTAATAAAGAGTAAAAGCCCGACCCAAGCCCGGCCCGGCCCGACCCATGAACAAGTCTATACTGGAGTAGTCGTTGGCCTTACGAAAGATCTCCGGGATCTCCAGGCTGTGGAGATAAGGTTTGTTCCGTTTTTGAAGGAGAGTAATATGTTGATAAGGTTTATCGTTTACCTCTGATTCAGGCGGATCCGGGACGAGTTCTCATCGTGATCTCGGGAAATTTGGGATCTGTTGACTCATCGTAATCTCGAGAAATTCGGGATCTGTTGGAGAGGCCTTTGTAGTCGGTTATGTAGCGTTTCGGCTCATTATCTCCGATTTGGCACTTTCATTCTTTAGTCCCGAACTGGATTGGGTGTCGAGGTGCCTCTACACCGAGGTGGTTTTTTAGGCCAAGGTGGCTGAATACCTGAACTCTGAATGTAACGAACTGGGTTCGCCTGGCTGAATTGTCACCCCTCGATCATATCGCGCCTACGTATCCCCTTCTTTCTAGGTCGTGACAAATCACCCTTCATCACCTCCTTTATAAGGACTTTGGATATGTCCCAACAACAACCCAACAAATCATTGCCGACCGCATTTCACCATGAAGGATAAGGAGATGTTCCCGATGTATGACTAGGATACCATTTATTGAGACCGATCCAAATTCCTTCCCAAGTCCCTTATCACCACAAATAACGAATTCACATCTCCACCCCACAATATTCCACAGCACGAGGAATATTGGGAATATCTTCTGATGATGACATCATAAATTCTGATACTATCATGGGAAAATGTTTCCAATACATGGCGCAATACATGGCGGAAATATGCTTTGAACTCATAACTAATCATTAAATGAATCGGGTGTGGTTCCGCTCCAAACCCATATACATGTATATTTGCTATAATTAGATATTTTTCAAATTAAAGGATCAAGTGTGGTTTCTAACTTTCCATCAATTTGGGTTGGATCCGGTTCTTAGCATCCGCACTGGGAAATAAATGTATACTATTGATTCAACTATGCACCGGCTCCAAATCCAAATCGTTTAGGAACCAGTAACCGATCAAACCTGATGCCCATTTTCTTTCCTTGTTTATTGGGAAGGGACGAAGGGTGGAATAGGTTATGCGAATAATCTGCTCAACCAACATTCCTTTCATATCCATAACAGATTAACAGAAGATCCTCACTATTCCCAAGTTGCCAAATGCCAACCACGCAACGGAATGTGGCCGTAATGTGCGCTTTATTTCACAATCTAGTTAGAACTTTTAGCCTATAAAGTTACCATCCCTTCCCTTCCCATGACGGAGCTCACCTCCGGTCAGAAAATATGGCCGGAAAGGTGACATCCAGTACCGCTGTTAAAGCTTTACTGCTCATTCTTTTGATTGTCATCGAGGTCCCAAGTACCGCCCTCTCCCAAGGAGAAACTGAAATAGATCGTTGGATCCAAAAGCATATTCAGGCCTATGTTGCACGGAAAGAAGAGCTCAGAGAAGGTGTGGACACTGCTCTCGAGCCGGCTCTGAAGGCTGCCGAGGCAAGTCGAAGAGTGATCAAGGTGAGGAAAAATGGCGCCGGCGACTTCAGGACGGTGACGGAGGCCATCAGTACTATTCCGGCAGGGAACACCAAGAGGACCATCGTGTGGATAGGACCCGGTGTGTTTGAGGAAAAGATCAAGGTGAATAGATCGCAGCCCTTCGTTACGTTCTTTGCATTGCCCAAGGACAAGCCGACGTTGGTGTACCATGGGACAGCCAAGGACTACGGGACTGTGGATAGTGCTAGCGTTATCGTAGAGTCTGATTACTTCATGGCCGTTAATATCATATTCAAGGTCGGTTTATTTTTTATATATATAATCAACGTTTATGTCTCATGCATGCATGGTCTGAGTCTGAGATTGACCAGAAGCCTTATTCTTATAGTCTACGATTAATTAAGATAGAAGTTAGAACCCATTGATTTGATGATCATAGGATTCTGTTAATTTTTGAATGGTTTTCAGAATTCTGCACCGGAGCCTGATGGAAAGAGAGAAGGAGCTCAGGCAGTGGCCATGAGGATCTCCGGCGACATGGCTGCGTTTTATGGATGCAGCTTCATTGGATTCCAAGACACCTTGTGCGATGATAAAGGCAGGCATTTCTTCAAGGACTGTTACATTGAAGGCACCGTTGATTACATCTTCGGCAATGGCAAGTCTATTTATTTGGTATGCATCTCTCTCTCTATATGTGATATGTGCGTCTCTCATCGACCAAATCCCCTGCCTTATTTTTCAGGATTTAGGTGGGTTGATGGTAAATATATTTTTTCTAGGTATCACTTAGGCAATAAAATGTTACAAGGTTCCCACTTGAGAATGAATGTTAAAAATATAATATATCAAAAATACCCATTGACACTATAATCTAAAAAGTATAGACTTATTTTTGAGGATTTTTATCACTTACCCAAGGAAATGTCAGCCTCTTCTTACTAAAGTTTCAAGTTGAGAATAAATGCTAAAAATATAAGGTCAAAAATACCCATTAACACAATATAATCTAAAATGCATGGACTTGGGCCCAAGGGTAAAAATGACAATATAGAAAAATTAACTATTTACCCAAAAAAGTGGGTGAGGCAAAAAAGAATATGAGAAAGTTGAGAGGCCTCATTTACCTAGGTAAATTTATCAATAAAGAATATGGGTAAGTGCACTTACCCGGGTAAATAGCCTCTTTGTAAAAGAACAAAACCTAAGGGTGTGCTCATTTTTTGGATTTTGAGTGTGAAGCATAACATTAAGGGCCTGTTCTTTTTTTGGATTTTGAGAGGAAAAAGTGCATTTCGATTCCATTGGCTCAAATATTCATGTTCTTTTTTCAGATTTATATAGGGTGTACAAAAAATTCATTTTCCATGTGGTATCACTTATCTTGAAAAATTGTCAAACGGGACAAAATTACCTATTTTAATAATAAATTTTTATAACTAAAAGGGTGATTATCTTTTTTATCTAAGAAATTAAAGAACATTGATAAATAAGCTGCTATAGTGGTTTTTTGTTTGTTATCAAGTGTTGAAGTGTTTTAATTTGCAGAACACGGAGCTACATTCGGTTTCTAATCGTACCGCCTTTATCACGGCACAAGCAAGGGAGAGGGTAGATGACGACAGCGGGTACAGTTTTATTCATTGCAAAATTACAGGTAATGGAGAAACTTATCTAGGTCGGGCGTGGAAAGATAGAGGTAGGGTTGTGTATGCTTACACTTACATGGGCACTCACGTCAAAGCTGAAGGCTGGTCCAACTTCGGAGTAGCAAGCCGTGATAAGTACGTATTATATAGCCACTGCACTCACTAAACTAATCTTATTAATTAATAAGATGGATAATATTAATTAACTGATGAAACTGAAAGATATGATTCTAATTGTCATAAAATTCACTCTATCTAAATATTAAAACAAGGTTTTTAAAACCGGATAAGACAGGGAACCGTTCTGACTGGTTTTCGGGTTGAATGGTTTGATTGTCCGGTCTGAATAGACAGCCTATTTTGACAAAAATAAAATAAAAATCCAGAAACGACCAAAAACCATTTTTGGGTCGAATGATTGTCAAATTCAGCCACTAGTGTTAATGATTCATTGACCAAATCAATAATTTTTGGCCAAAAAAAAATTTTAGAATAAAACAGAACTGATCAGATAACTGATTCCAATTTTTCTAGTCCAACCATCCAGTTCGGTCTGATTTTAAAAACATTGTATTAAGAGACTACATCTTAATTTCATTATTAACATAGCTAGAGGGACATACATTGATGATTATCCCTTTTATGGCTATGCACTAAATAAGAAATAACCATGGAGCACAATTGTCAATTAAATATATTAATAAACTATTTCAGGTTTAAATAGTTGATAGCTGAAACTGTATGGTTTATCATTGCACAGGACTGTTTTCTATGGAGAGTACGAGTGCAAGGGTCCAGGGGCAGCCACGAAGAGACGTGTGCCTTTTGTGAAATTACTAACCAAACAAGAAGCTGAGCCCTTCTTGAGTTTGACCTACATTCACGGCATTACTTGGCTTCTCCCTCCTCCCGTACTGTAAAGAAGTCTGGTCTAATAATGTATCTTCATTATCTAATATATATTCAAACGTTGAAGTTTCAAAGTCTTCTTCTTCTTCTTCCGTTTCAGTAAGGGCAAAATCCGTTCGAGCAGCTTAATTTTACTGTCTTGCATTGAAAATATCTCAGTACCTATGTACTTTATTTCATGGATAGATATTCCCAATACAAGCCACCGGTTTGCCCTAATAGAAGCCGATCTCATATTATTGATGCAGATCACGTGAAAAGAAAGAAATTAAAAAGCCACAAAAAAATAAGAGAAAAGAAAAATAGAATGAGGTTTATATAAATTGAGAGACGATGAAATTTGGGACTGCTCTTGCCCACAGGATCGTACTTATTAATTTAAGCAAATATTCTCCTACCTCACAACAAAGCTTTTGCCTCTTCCAAAGGGAGTGTTCATAAAAATCGAAAAGCCAAAAACTGATTGAATCAAGAAAAGCGAACCAAAAAATACAACGACCAACCCGACTCAACTCAACCCAAGTTGGTCTGCTCTCTAGTATTTCTAATCGGCTTTGGTTCAACCATTTCCCAACTTGACTAGGTAAGATCAGTTTTGCTTTAGTCATTTATAAACCGACAACAACTGAATTGACCTGACCATAGATTATATATTAATATTTTATAATTTAAATCTAATTTTTTTAATACAGAAAAGTGGGAATTTTTTCATATTCCCTAGTCTAAAATATCATAATTTAAGTTTTTTAATTTATTTATTAATAATACCACTATAATTTTTTAATTTTTAAAGTTTAAATCTTTTGAATCGATTAACCAAAATGAAAATTCAACCTAAATCGATACAACTCGAGTTGGCTGATTGGAAACACAACCGCTTGCCCGTTTTTGAGATCCTACATCCCACAATTTTCTCATCCCAAAAATTGTGTTCCTACAAACAAACACCGGAAAGGGAGAATCATTAGAGAATATTCCATTTTCCCATCCTTTTCTCAGCAATCAAACATACCCTAATAGTTAGTCGTTTTAGGGCGACCATCTCCCCAACCTGACCAAATCGATTTGGTTGGCCAAACAACATTCAATTGAACCAAACCAACCCATGAACATTTTTAATTTCAGCTAAATTAATAGTCTAGTCTCTAATAAATAACAATAGTTTAATCTCCAATAAATAATGAAAATTTATAGCAAGAATACACAGTTATTTAAAATAAAATTATAATAAAAAGAAAATAAATAACTAATAAAAATATAATAAACACAATAATTACAAAAATACAATAAATACTAAAAATATAATAAATTAGTCAATTGATAGTTTAATCTCTAATAAATGTTAATCAATAAATTATAACATAGATACATAATTACTAAAAATAAATTTATAACAAAATTACAATAAGTATAATAAATTAAATTTTAAAATTTAAATAATTGTAGTTTATTCTCCAATAATTATTGAAAATTTTCTATTTAATAGAAAAACAAAATTAGATTTGTACATAATTATTAAAAATATATTTATAACAAAAAAAAATAAATAATTACTGAAAACACAACAAATTTTAATTTTAGTATATATAAATATATATGAAGGTTTTAAAATTATTAATAAAATTATTTTTTGTGAAAATTATTTTCTAGAATTATTAACTAATATAAGTGAAATTAGTTATTTACATTATTATTTAGTTATTTAAATTATATCATTATTTCAATTTATAAAGTTTTAATTATTTATTGAATTTAATAATCCATAAAATTAAAATTTATACTAATATTACATAATTTCATTATTAATTTTGTAAATTATTAAATTATTATTAATTTGAATATAATAAAATATATTATAATTATTTTTCTACTTTTAAGATTTTTTTGAATTTATTACATAATTTCGTTAATTTGACTATTTATAATTTAGTTTTGTTAAATATTTCATTATTTAAAATATTTATTTTATTTAAATATTTAAGTAATATGTAAAATATTTAAGTCCTTTTGTTATTTGAATTTTATTTTTATTAAAGTTATTACGTAATATTAAATATTTTGTTATTTAAAATATTTAGTTAATGAAATATTTAAATAATATTTTATTTTTTAATGTTAAATTTTTATTATTTGATTAAAATTTAAATTGAATAATCTGTAAAATTATAGTTTATATTGTTAGTACATAATTTTGTGATGAATTTTGTAAAAATATAAAATTATTAAAAATTCAACATTATTAAATCTATAGTATTTTTTTTTGTGTTTTTAATAAATATCTTAAAGTTATTATACAATTTCGTTATAATATTTAAATAATTCTAGATTTTTTTTTTTACATAATCTTTCTTTAGATAGAAATAGATAAAAAATGGGGGAGAGAATAAATAGAAATTAGAGATAATTTAGGAGAGAAATAGGATTAGCCATAATTTAGGAGAAAGTGGGGATGGTGGTGCAACTTGGCTAGACATTAGAAAAGCAAATCACTCTTTTTTTATCTATTGGTTGTTAGAGATAATTTAGCATATGATGTTTCTTTATTGGTTTAATGGGTAACTACTAGGGCTGTTCATAAGAAGGCCCAACCCGACCAAACCGACCAACCCAGACCGACCCAACCCGAGTCGGCCGAGTTTTTATCAGCACGGGTCGGTTTTGGGTTGTGCAAATTCCTAAACCGATGATTCGGGTCGGTTTCGGTTTTCATACCCGACCCGAACCGACTTAGTTCCTAGTTCAAACATGAAGTCCCAAAGCCCATTAGGCCACCTAGTTTTTGAATGGTTGCAAGAAACTTTGGATTAGTGAATAGTGATTAATGAACAACTTTTGTGATTAACTTTTCATTTAAATTTTATCATAGGAGATGGCTGAAATGATGTTCAATTTATGATTGTTTTTAGAATTAACAAGATTTTATCATAGGGATGAACATAGAACCGAAACCGACCGAAACCGACCCAACCCGACTCAAACCGACCAGGTCGGTTTTGCTTAACATTGGGCCGATTTCGATTTCTATGTCAGGTAACCCGATCAGGTCGGATCAGTTGGAAAAACTATAATAAACCGACCCAACCCAACCCATGAACAACCCTAGTAATTACGTAAAACTAAAAAAATAAAAAAATTCAAAAATACAAAAAAATTAGAAAGAAGATTTAGAGCAAAGAAAGGCATGATGACATGAACACGATTGAGATGTGCTGTGGGGCGCAGATGAGGATTCAATGGTTTATAGATCTCACATTGATGAGCTATCAATGAAAAAAGAATGAGAGAGAGCACGTTAATTGCTAGATTTTGGAAGATTCAGGTAAAAGGTGGAAGTATTCAGAGGATGCGAGTTTAATAGTGGTTCATTCCACCTCAGTGACCGGAGTATGGACCCTTATTTTTCTGTTTAGTTAATGGATATTTTACTTATATAAAAAAACACTTATATTCGTAACTCAGGAAACAAGGCGGTTCATCATCTTATCGCGTTCATCACGTATAACAATTATTAAACAATCAAAATCTTCTTCTTCTTCTACTTTTTTTTTTTTAATATTTTTATTAGTCAATCAATCAACACAATGGTAAATCACCCTCCCTTGGAGTAAGGGTGTCAATGGACCAGTCCAATCCAAAATCAATTTGGATGGATTGGACAGACCAATAAGACAAATTGGATAAGACATATTGGATTGGACCAATTCAATCCAAAATATTTATTAGATTAGATTGAACCTGATTCGTCCTTAATAAATTTATATTAGATTGGATTGGATTAAGCCAATATCTGATTCATTGATATAAGAAAAGAATATAGGTATCAATGGACTAGGTTTGAATTGAAAATCAATCTAAATCAAAATGAATTTGAATAGATTGGATGGTCCAGACATTGAATTGGACCAATCCAAAATATTCATTGAACTAGATTGGACCTAGTCCATTTATAATAGACTCACATTGGACTGGATCAGATTGGACCAAATCCAGTCCAACTGACACCCTTACCTTGGAGTGTGATGAAAATAGCGTTCATACATGCAAGGGTTTTTTCTAATGTTTATTTCAAAACTATCAGCTGATTAAATAAACATTTTTTGTGATATGTATATATTATGGTGGTTGAAACATTGTTTTCAAGCATTCCTGATATATATCCAAGAGTACTGTTGCAGCAGGACAAGTTCCGATTGTCGCAACAGAAAAGAAAATAAGTTCCAATCCAGGATTATAGATCTTCTCCCACAAACCATTCGAGCTTTATTATAAGAAAACAAAATTGTATAGAGGCAAGCACATTTAAATATAACAACAATAATAATTAATGAATCAATTAACAAGTCATTGGACTGCAATTCTTTGAGTTAAGTATATAATATAGTTAATAATATCATGAAATCAGCAAACAAATGGAACGATTTCTTTCAAACCTAACCAGGCCAAATGCTTGTTTTAATATAATGGACCATGTCAAGTTGACCATTTCTTTACCTCTTTTCTCTTTTCCCTTTTTCTGGCAACAAGTCATATTCACACTTGAAAATTCAAACTTCAAAATTATATTAAATTAACCTAGCTATCAAATCACTTACGGCTTTAGGCCAAAAAAAAAAAAAAGAAACTATTCAGATAAATTATCTCAGGCTTAATTTTGTATTATTGTCCTGAATTAATTCGTCATTTGAGTGGTAAACAAGGATGTTGTTATGAAAGAATTGATGGTTGAGACTGGTTCAATTATGGATGCTGGAGTACTGGAACCTTCACATAAGTTATTATAAACTAAACCACTTTTAGAGATTAATATTGGATGGTCCTTTGAAAGAAAACAACACCCAAATCGGAGAAAGACATTGCATTCCTGCAGATTGGCTTCTGAATTCAAAAAGAGGACGACGAAGGAACATAGAAAGGCTGGACTAGCTTCTTGTTCATTAGATAATATGAAACCAGCTGCTCCACCCAAATCAGAAATCTTTTATGTTAGCATCAGAGAAAGAAAGATGGAGGGTTTGGGTTACTTCTTGCAAAGCAATACCATCATCATGAGATGGATTCGGTGGATTCTGTTTCTAGTTGCAGGTCTTCATGTCGCCTCTGCTTCCACAGATACCGAAGATGGTAAAGTAGTAGACCCCAATTGGAATTTATTTCTCATGTTCTTTCTTAGTAGTAGACTCAATATTATCCCATCTCTGTAATACTGATCAAATCAACTTTGTCCACCTGAAATAGCTTTAAAGAACTTCATTCTAGGAGGATTAATGATACATAGCTATATTTGTTCTTCTAGTTTCTTCATCATCTTTGAGGCTAGAACTAGAAAAGCTCATGTCTTCCTTTTCTTCTTCTAATTTCTTTCTTTTTGTTGGTTTCTATAAAATTTCAATTTGCTTGAAGCATCCAAATTAAAACAGTTTCCTTAACGTTTTAAAGGATCTGTATCAGATTAGGCAAGAGCAGTGAGTCAGCGCGACTAGAGCATAAATTCATTTTCACGCCTTAGATCCTTGGTCTAGACTCTAGAGTTTGGTTCTGCTCCTCACACCAACTTCACAACACGTCCCACCTGCACATCAGGAGCGTTTCTCATACTTGTGTTGTGTTATTCATGGGGGAGGTTTCTAATACATAGGAGGATGTGCTGTGCGATCGATGTGAGGTGCGCTCTGTGAAGAGCAAACCCTGATTCCTCGGTGTAGGGATATATAGATCCCATAAAAATGGACTGTCAGAACTATAGAGAATGGATTTCTTCACACTGGCCCTTTTCATATGCAGATCTGTTCATGGGCCGGGTAGTTCGACAGGCTGGCCTGGCCTGGCCCATTATAAGTTGAGCTTGGTCATAATTTTAGGCCTGCAGGTTCAGGTTCGGGCCTAGAGCACCGGGTCTGACTTTTTTCAGGTTAGACTTAGGTTTTCTCAAAAAAGCCCGGCCCAAGCTCAAGCCCGATTTGATATTATATATTAAATAATAAAAATATATTTTATTTAATAAAATATATATATACAATATTTTTTCTTTATTCTTCTCTTTTTTTTTCCAAATAATAATGAGATGTTTATTATTTTTGAGTTTTAAAGGTTTTTAATATAAATAAAACATTTTTTTATTGAATAAAAAAGAAAAAAAAATTCTGCAAATTCAAATTTCTGGTTGGACTCTTGTTTGGGCCTGAATATATACTCTTGATACATACACAAAACTCGTCCCAAACCCGGCTTGGCCCGCCCATGAAGAGGTCTATTCGTATGGTAACACAACTGGGTATATCTACCATAGATGAGTTACAGAACAAATGGGGTCATATCTTACTCGGGAAATGGATAGTAAGAAATGGATTAGCTAAACTTGATAGATGTGTTTTGGGCTGTAGGATCAAACATAAATTCATAATGCCCCCATGTCAACTGCCACCCATAAAGTCTATATGGCCCACAATTATAACTGACATGGGACATTGGGGCTTTGATTAATCACATGGCCCAAAACAGAGCTATGAAGTCCAGCTAATCCATTTTTATCATATTCCCTTCTACTTGAGGTAGGGGTGTTCACGGGTCCACTAATAGACCAAATCGACCTGGTTGGTTTGAGTTAAGTTGGGTCGGTTTCGGTTTTGCTCCTGTACAAAAGGACACCTAATTGAATTCTGATTGTAATTGCCTAATGGGTTGCCTATTTAGTGTAAAAGATTATAGAAAGTTAGAAACTAGGATAGATTGTCTATTCTAATTATAATTGCCTAATGGGCCTTCTAGTTCTAGTAAAAGACTAGTTATAGTTAAGTAAGAAACTACTCAAACTAGGAACTACTGACTAGTTCGGTTCGGGTCGGGTTGACCCGATATATCAATTTATATATTTTCTCAACCCGAAACTGACTGGTATTGATGAAAACGAGTCGGTCGAGGTTGGTCGGTTTGGTCGGGTTGGACATTCTTATGAACAGCCCTAACTTGAGGGGTAAAATATTACTAGGAGCATTTCCAGACGTAGTTCAGATAATCTACAGTTCTACCCATGACACACCATATAACCTTTGTTCATGTGGGTGGCACATGTCAGGATGATTGGCTTGGTATCCTCCGGTTAACACAGAAGATTGAAAATTTGCTCCAGATTTAATTTAACATATTTTGCTCCAGATTTAATTTAATATATTTTCATTCCGGAAAGTTTGTTTTTTTGTAACGAGTCCATGACTGTAGGGTTGTTCACAAACAATGTCAGAATGACCAAACCGACCAAATTGGCCTGACCCAATTTGATTTGGTCGTTTTTTTTTTTTACCACTGGTTGGTTTTGGGTTGTGAAGAGGGATAAATCAATAATTTGGTTCGATTTTAGTTTTCATGTGTGAAAACCGAAATAAATCAAGTTAATTTCTGATTTCCTAGTCTTTCCCTAACTAGACAATCCCTATCCTAATTTATTCTTTCTAATTAATTACTTATTTTTAATATTAAAGAACAATAAAACATTAGTTAAATGGAAATTACTTTTGTCTTTAGGATTCTTTTATTTTTTTGAATAAGAAATTTTACAGTAAAATAAGGTTATTCATAAACAATGCCAAACCGACCCAAACCAACCCTTGATGTTTGAGTCAATTTTGCTTAATGGCAGATTGGTTTCGGTTTGCTCTTTAAGTAATCCGAATAGGTTAAGTCGGTTTTGATTTGCTCTTTAAGTAACCCGACTAAGTCAGGTTGGTTGAAAAAAATCTATTAAACCAACCCAACTTGACCCATGAACAGCACTACTTGATTGGCCAAGATTAGCGATTAGCCCTAAACCGTACTAAGACCCAAGCAAGAACTCATTATCCAGGTATTCAATCTTGGGCCCAACCCATCATGTCCCAGCCTGAACCCAATTATTGAAAACTCTATTGATTTTGTATCCTGATATCAGCATCTTATGTTTCTGATAAACCAGTTTAGGAGGGCTTAAGCTTGCTTTAGATAAGTTGTTTTGAATAAGAAGCTTCAACGGAGAACCGTGTAAGTAGCTGAAAAGTAATCAAAACATAAGGTGCTGTTTGGCATCAATGCTGGTGCTTCCTTACCTAAAATCACCAAAATCAACCAACAAAACAGAAATTTAGCGCTGATGTGGTTCCAACGTGGCAGTGATTTTCAGGAAATTGGCATCGATGCCAAATATCCCCTAAATTGTTTTCGCTGTATTTGGTTATGCAAATAAATTTGCACTGCTGCTGACGGTGCAAATGATTTGGGTATAAATTCTGACCTATTTTTTGTTTCAAATTTTAGTTTTTGTTTGATTGCGGTACAAATATAGTAAATTAAGACATAGAGCAGAATAAAGTAAAACTCAAAACAAAATTAAATGAGAATTTACATTTTTTCATTTGCACTCCCATACATTTGTAATAGTGCAAATAAATTTGCACTGCAACCAAACACAGCCTTTAGAACAAATCCTTCAAAGCTCAATTTCTCTTGGACTATAGGCTGATGTGGTGGTAGTTTTGGTTTTACAAAATAACACCATTCACATTGGCCAACACCCCTAAGAGAAATCTGTTGAAATTTCTGGCCATTCACATTGGCCAATTCCCCGAGGCATTCCATGAAATTCCTTGATAACTTCTCCAAACTTTTCCCTTTCTCAATTATTTTCCAAAGAACCAAGCAACCGAGAGAAACAGAAAGTTGAGTGACACTTGAAAGCTCTCAAGGAATTTCACAAAATTCCTTGATAACTTTCCCTCAACTCTGTCAAGCCAAATACAGCCCTTAAGAACCTGTACATCATCATCATCATCATCAAAGAAAACGAAATGACAAACTGATAAAATGGTGATGGAGCAGTTGCAGCACTGCGATCTCTTATGTCTCACTGGCAGAACATTCCACCAAGTTGGGGCAAGACAGATGATCCTTGTGGAACACCATGGGAAGGAGTCAGTTGCAGAAATTCCAGGATCACTGCATTGTGCGTCTCCTTCCATTGCTTCAAATTAACCAGCATTCTTTTGTCATTCCTAGAAACTCTATTCTTTACCATTGGAAAAACTAAACAAATTCTCATGGTGCTTTTCAGGAGTTTGTCTACCATGGGCTTAAAAGGTACACTAAGCGGTGACATTGGTCAATTCACTGAATTGACAACCCTGTGAGTTCTTTCTCTCCTTCCCTGTACTGACAACAGTGGCTTCACTAAAGCTTAAGATAGAAGTAGAATAACTTACTGGATTTGAATAAACTCTGTTGTCACAGGGACCTCTCATACAACAAGGAACTCACTGGTCCCCTGTCACCACGGATTGGAGATCTTCAAAAGCTTAACATTTTGTAAGGATCCTACAAGTCAACCATCCATTCATTTTTTCAGTCTCTCTGGATTACAAAATTTATTTAACTCTATAATTATTACTTACTTTTTCTTTATTTTTTTCTTTTTGTTGTTTATCTTTCAGGATCCTAGCTGGTTGTGGCTTCACTGGTACTATCCCAACAGAAATAGGCAACCTAGCAAAACTCACCTTCTTGTAATGCTCAGAAAATTTTCAATATATATTTTTTCATAATGGAACCATGAAAAACTGATGATAACACAGATCTAATTTCCTTCCTTCAACATCCCTCTCCTCAGGGCTCTTAATTCAAACAACTTCATTGGTGGTATACCTCCTTCCTTGGGTAGCCTTTCCCAACTTTATTGGCTGGACCTTGCAGATAATCAATTAACAGGGTCTTTGCCCGTCTCTGACAACAATTCTCCGGGCTTGGATCTTCTTCTCAAAGCAAAACATTTGTGAGTCCCAATCAACAGAAATGATAAAATAAAAATAGATAAAAAACAAATTATTTAACACACAGACAGCTATTGAATTTTTTTATGCTCTTACAGCCATTTCAACAAAAACAAACTATCAGGTGCCATTCCATCTAAGCTATTCAGTTCTGAGATGGTACTAATACATGTGTAAGCATAACACCCTGCCATATCTTCTTGCTCTTTCAAAGATGATCACGATGATGACAGATTTTGCTTCTTGATAGGCTATTTGATGGAAATCAATTAAATGGGAGTATACCTTCCACATTGGGTCTTGTTAAGACCCTTGAGGCTCTGTGAGTAATTGCCTATGATATCTATTGCTTGCTTGTCAATGTGATGGATTATATTTTCTCATATCCCTGATTTTCATGGTTTGTTGGTTTATGTGTAAAACAATCACATTCTGCAACAGCCGGCTTGATAGAAATTCTCTTACCGGGCCAGTTCCATCTAACCTCAACAACCTTACCAGCCTCAATGAATTGTAAGTAATCTTTTCTGATCACAATCAGCATTTCTGGTGGTTCAGGGTTTGTATACTTTATACTCATGCTCTTTTAATTTCTTGCAGGAATTTAGCATACAATAAACTGACTGGCTCAGTACCTGACCTAAGTGGAATGGGTTCCCTCAATTATGTGTAAGAAAACATCATGAGATTATAAACTCCTAATGCAAACACCCAGACAGAAAACCAAAAGGGAAAAGAAAAAGAAAAGAAAAAAAAAAGGAAAGAGAGCAGATTCATCATGGGTCAATGTATTTTCATTCTCTTACTACCATAGACTGACAATTGTATTCATGCTTTCTCCTCTAGGGACTTGAGCAATAACACATTCGACAAAGCAGAAGCTCCAAGGTGGTTCTCAACCATTGGATCCTTAACCACTTTGTAAGTTTCTTATGTACCCAGTTCAACTTTTCCAGAATATGAGAAACATCATTGAATTAACGATTCAAGCTAATGGTGGGTGCAGAGTTATGGAGTATGGACAACTTGAGGGGTCAGTGCCATCAAATCTCTTTAGCCTCCCTCAAATACAACAAGTGTGAGTATATTTGGTTAGAGAAATGTCAGAACTTGTCAAGATGAAATGACTAAAACATAGTTGCAACTTGCAAGAGAAACAAAGAATTTATTACCCTATCAAACATCAGTTTATAATTTTTGCAAGTTCTGTGACAGGAAACTGAGAAATAATGCATTCAATAACACACTAGACATGGGTAACAACATTGGCCAACAACTGCAGTTCGTTGATCTACAAAACAACAATATTCAATCAGTAAATCGCTCTGGATACTCAAACACTCTAATGTGAGATCATGCATGCACTACTAGTCTTTTCCCTTACAATGTCCTCTATATGAACTCTCATCTATTTTGACTACTAATTTTCATTTTCATTTACCATGGGTTGCAGACTTGTTGGAAATCCAGTATGTACAATTACCACGAATGATAACTACTGCCAGCTTCGAGGAACAGGACAGGCTTATTCCACTGACTTGACTATCTGTAGCTCCAAGTCATGTCCCCCACAACAAAGTGTGAACCCTCAGAGTTGTGATTGTGCCTATCCATACACAGGGATTTTAATTTTCAGAGCACCTACCTTCCGAGAATTGTCCAATGCCGCTATGTTTCATTCACTAGAAATGAGCCTTTGGGTAAACCTTAGCCTTGCGCCTGGTTCAGTTTCCCTCCAAAGCATCTTCTTCAACAAGGATGACTATCTACAGATGCAATTGGAACTCTTCCCGTCAAATGGAAAGTACTTTAACAGGACAGAGGTTCAAAGGATTGGGTTTTATTTGAGCAACCAAGTTTATAAACCTTCAGATATATTTGGGCCATACTTATTTAATGCATTTTTTTACCCTTTCCCAGGTAACTTATTCTGTTCTTGCTTAAAAACAAAATTTGAGTCATAACCCCTTGAAATGATGGATCTGATAAAAAATGAACAAAACAATTGTTTCAGATGGAAGTCAAGGAACTTCACTAAGCTCAGGTGCCATTGCTGGAATAGCAATTTCTTGTGTTGCTTTGGTCTTCTTACTCATGGGTGTGGGAATCTATGCCATTCGGCAAAAGAAACGTGCAGACAAAGCTACTGAATTGAGTAAACCATTTGGTAATGTGCTCCATGCAATTATGAATATAATGTTTTCTATACCAAATTTACAAGTGCATATGATAATATGTTGAAAAGTTGCAATTTCCAATATAAATTGCTTATCTGAACTATTATCCACCATTTGCAGCATCATTGTTTCAAATGAATAGTGATAATGGTGGTGCACCAAAATTAAAAGGAGCTAGATTGTTTTCTTATGATGAACTCAGAGCGTGCACCAGCAATTTCTCAGAAAGCAATGAAATTGGATCTGGGGGCTATGGCAAGGTACTATCCATTTGTTATAACTCATAAAGCACTTGACATCTAGCAATGCATGGCAACATAGTGAACTTTGTTCCCTTTCCAGGTTTATAAAGGAATTATCTCTAGTGGGCAAGTGGTAGCAATTAAAAGAGCAACACAAGGTTCAATGCAGGGTGGGCATGAATTTAGAAATGAAATTGAGTTGCTTTCACGGGTTCATCACAAAAATCTGGTGAACCTGGTAGGCTTTTGTTTAGAGCAAAAAGAGCAGATGCTGGTCTATGAATTCATTCCTAATGGGACGCTTTGGGAGAGTTTGTCTGGTATGTTTTGCAGTTCCATAAATGTTCTCCTATTTTGTATATCTTAATACATAGTAAGAAATTATTCTGCAATCATCAACTGCAGGGAGATCAGGAATTCACCTAGATTGGAAGAGGAGACTCCAAATTGCTCTAGACTCAGCCAGAGGATTATCGTATCTTCATGAACATGCTAATCCCCCCATAATTCATAGAGATGTTAAGTCGAGTAATATTCTATTGGATGAAAATTTAGTTGCAAAGGTTTCAGATTTTGGACTGTCCAAGCTGATATCAGACATTTCTAAGGGGCATGTTTCCACCCAAGTTAAAGGAACAGTGGTAAGTATTATTTCATAGACCACCCTTTTTCCATCTTGAAGTTCTCTTCAAGAATGCATTGCCATTATATTATTCTACATTTCTACTTGAGAGAATCACAATTATATCTAATATCAACAAATGCCAAATGTATGACTTCATAAGTACTTCAATTTGTCGAGGATACATATTTAGAAGGAAAAGATGCATCAAATTAAACATGTTATTTGATTATGGTTCAATAAACCCATTAACATTTGGAGGAAAAGGAAAATCTAAACTGGCTTTAGTTTTAGATCAGGATATCTATTGCCATCACCAGATTCTTGAGTTATAGAAACATCCTGTAAAATTATTGATCCTTTCAATCCGAATGATATTTTAGTTTAAGTAGGCTTACTCAAGAACTTAATTCCAAGAAAGTACATTGCCTAGTTTGGCTGATGTAAGAAAGAGTAGGGGGTCCTACGTAAGATCTGGCAATGGGCTTTTCTATGGTGGATGACTTTGGGTGATGTAAGATGAAGAAACAAGCAGACAGCTTGTTGTCCAACAAGAAATGAGTAAGAAATCGGAAAGAAAGAGAACTCTTTCTGTTAGAACAAACAACAAAGAGATAGCTAGCTTAAAAGAAGAAATAGGTGAGAGAATGAAGGGTCTTTTCTTTCCAAAAGAGAGAGAAGAGAGAAGAGAGATACGAAGAGAAGAGAAGAGAAAAAGTATTTGAGAGCCAAAAAACTGAAGTTGGCGGCTCCCAGCTTCCTATTTGTATTAACATGATGTAAAATAAAAGAAACAGAAATTACAAGCATGCCCCTAGTGGCCCACTTGCTTAACAGGGAAAGCCCGAGGAGAAGAACTGGAGCAGAGGGAATTAAAGAAAGAAGCACAAGTAAATAGCCCTTTCGGAGTCAAAGTCCAAATCCTCCTATCAGGTGGTCCAGGCAAGCAGAATCAAGTAACAATAGGAGCTTAGAAACTGATAAGGATTCCTCATCCCTCAACCCTTTGCGGAATCCAAGGTCCTAATTTGTCGACAAAGGGGTATACAGGGGCAAAATAAAGGAAGACAGTTTTTTTTTTTTTTTTTTTTTTTTTTTTTTTTTTATAAAGGGAAATAGAGAAGAGAGAAGGGAACAGATCCTTAAGGGGCAAATTTCCCACCCAAGTGTCTTCCCAGAAAATAATACGAGTCCTAGAGCAAGCATCATACCTTACAAAGCGTAGGAACTATGGGAGGATGCCATGAATTGCCTTCCAAGGTATTGCAAGAGTTGCCCGTCTGGATACCCCTGCATCCTAATCATTTCCGGAATAGCCATGGATACTTGCCACCACTTCATGCCATAACCTCTCCCTCTCTAAAGGCCACCTCCATAACCACTTACCTAGAAGGGCTACATTCTTGAAAGTGATATTCCCTATTCCTAATCCTCCTTCCTCCTTACTTTGACTAACTATTTCCCATATAACCAAATGATCCTTCTTCTCTTGCCCCGACTCCCACAAGAAGTCCCTCATCATTTTCTCTAACCTCGTAGCTTCCCTAGTAGGAATCTTAAAGACAGACAAAAAGTAGACCGGCAGATTAGCAAGTGTGGATTTGATCAAAGCCCCAAATAATGAGCTTAGTAAAATACTCACTATAATGTGGGCTTCAAGTAGCTAGTAGCATCCATCTTGGAATTCTTCATAAGAATATCCTCTAATTTCCTTTCATCACGTTTATTGTTTTTCTCTTTGTAATTAATTACTCCTCTACCCCTTCGTTTTCTTTTTCAATGTTTATCTGAAACCAACACACACACACTTTCCTTTTCCATTTTCTTATTTGTACATGCATTATCTATGTATCTCTCCCTCTTGTATTTAACAAGCTAAAATTAAACAATAGTTTCATAAAATATCATCACCAATGCAACTAGGTGCTCCTCTGTCACTTGGCTTTGCCCTAGCACCTGGATAACTATGATATTAGGATACTGATCACATCTTGACCTGCTAAGCTGGTTATGACTTCTTGTTGCAGGGATACCTAGACCCTGAGTATTACATGACTCAACAATTGACTGAGAAGAGTGATGTTTACAGCTTTGGCATAGTAATGCTTGAACTAGTAACAGCTAAGAAGCCCATAGAGAAAGGAAAGTATATTGTTCGTGAAGTGCGAATGATTATTGATGAGAATGACAAAGAGAATAATGGATTGAAGGAGATTATTGATCTGAACATTAAAAATGATGCAAAACTTTTTGGTCTTGTAAGATTTGTAGAGTTGGCCATGAGATGTGTGGAAGAATCAGCTACAAACCGCCCAACAATGAGTTATTTGGTCAAGGAGATAGAAAGCATACTACAAAATGAAGGGCAGAATACAAATTCAACCTATGCATCCTCATCTGTGACACACCTTCCTCGACATCATATAGATGTTCTATCAGAAGATGATTTCAATAAAAGTGATGCCTTTGAATATAGTGGTGGGTTCATGTTTCCCGCTAAAATTGAACCCATGTAGTTTGTGGTAATTTTCTACAATTGCGAGTGGAGCATGAAAAATCATTTAAATTCATTATTTATTATTTATTATTTATCTATTTATTTATTTATTGAGAGAAATCTCCACAGAACAAGTTGTTTAAGAAAAAACTGAAGCGATAATGGCTTCTTATCATTAAGGTGCAAGTAAACACTTCTTCCAAGTGAGATATACTTTCCAAAAATCAAATGATAAAAATATCTAATAATCAACATAACCAACTTAAAACAAGAAAATCTCAACCAACACTAGTAGTTTAGTTCAATACAATGCAAATTGTACATACATAATTCAAGGTCAATATGGTTTGAGGCTTTAAAAGGAAATCCTAATAAACTGATTGCATCGAGCATAAATAACATCAATTGGCATTAATAGAGAAGGCCCTGGTAGAAATAAACATATCAACAACCTTTTTTTGGCTGTTTTGTTTATTTGAATATGAGCCACCTGGCAGTTTTAGTTTAACCATTGTTAATAATTAGGTTCTTTACCAATCTAGAATAGTAACACATGAACTATCATTTTTTATTTTTCATCATGAGTTCAGCATGAATTACCAAGCATAAATAAGGTAATGAGAGACTTGATATGAGTTATAACTTGGATATACCATTATGTTGATGGGATAGCTAGACCCCCCATATTACTCGAGTCAACAACTGATAGAGAAGAGCAATGTTTGCAGCTCTGAAACAGTAAAGCTTGAACTGGTAAAAGGAAGGCAACCAATAAAGAGGGGAAAACACATTTTTCACGTCTACAAATGAAAATCAGTAAGAATTTTTTTTGATCAATAACACTTTCATTAACTCATCAATAGAAGATTTACAATAGGAAGACAAACACACTTATCTTCCAAGAGCAACAAAGAATCTCAAGAAAAGGAAAAAAAGAAAGAAAAAAGAAAGAAAACACACTATAGTTACAACTTGGCCAAAAAAAGTGAATCCCTTTCTGCCCCTTGTTTAGCTAAACCGTCAGCTAGGGAATTAGTCGATCTTTTAACCCAACGTATCTTAACTTCCATCTCCCGCACCAACCACTTGAATTTCCTCCTCTCATTATTGTACTTCCATAAACCATTGTGATCTTTAATCAGCCACCCTATCAACACCTTTGAATCCCCTTCAATTAAGAGTTTCCTGATGTTCAACTCCTTAGTTTTTTGGACTTTTTTCATAACTGCAAAGATCTCAGCTCTAAGGGAGTCACCCACTCCAATTGGGCCTGAGAACATGGCAGAAATGACCCCATTTGCATCCCTAAAAACACCCCCAATCCCCGATTGTCCTAGATTTCCCCTGCTACACCCATCAAAGTTTAGTTTCACGAATCCACTAGGTGGAGGGGTCCAAGCCACACTCATTACTGACTTAATTTGTGTGCAACTTACAATTTCATCCCACTTCCTCAACATGTCATCCACAGTGTAATCTGTGAAAAGCTCCAAAGATTTCAGCCACTGTACCACCCTAATATGAATGATAGCCCTCAGATCTGCTACTCCTCTTTGAGCTTCTAAGAATATCCTGGAGTTTCTTTCTTTCCAAAGTGTCTAACATACTGCAGCCCTTAGTCCTCTCCACATTGTCCTTCTCCTTTTTATCTGCCACCTGAAAAGAGAAGGGGAAAAAAGGCATTGCAAGTCTGATGGGGGATTCCAACTACATCCAAATAGGGACAAAGCCCATTCCCAAATTGACCTCGCAAAATGGAAAGACACTAGTAGGTGAAAACCAGTCTCTCCATCCACTTTACAAAGAACACACCACTAAGGTGACAAACAAGTATTGGGTCTCTTCTTTTCAGTAAATCACTAGTGTTGATTCTTTCCAGATAGGCTTCCCAACAAAAACTACCAACCCTAAGAGGTATTGATCTACACCAAACCTCATCAACAGGAAAAGGAGGGAAGGTAGGACTGGTGGACTGGCTTAAGACTTTGAAGAAAGAAGCACAAGAAAAAATGCCATTGGGAGAAGGTGTCCAAATTCTAGAATCCGCCCTAGTAGGGTCTAAGACAACGTTATCAAGAATTGCAATAAGACTCAAAATATTGTCAAAATCTGAGTCCCTCAAATCCCTTCTTAGASCCAAGTTCCACCCAATCCCAGAAATGGAAGAGGACGGGGTGGTAAAAGACGAGATCGGCTCATTTTTCAGATCAGAAAGAGTAAATAAAGAAGGAAACTGATCCTTTAGAGGGGCACTCCCCACCCAGGTTTGTTCCCAAAATTTTATGGAGTTACCAGAATTCAAATCATACTTGATATTAGGGGAGAAAACTGGTAACAGGTCATGAATGGCTTTCCAAGGAGAATTGCTGGTGGTCCTAGCTCTAATTCCAGCATCTCATCCATTATGCTCCAACCCATGAATATTTACTACTATTCTAGCCCATAGCTTCTCCTTCTCCAAGGGGAATCTCCACAACCACTTTCCCAACAGTCATATTCCTTCTCCTAATATTCCCAAGCCCCAAACTACCACACGTCTTACTCCTACAAACTATCTCCCAGCTCACTCTGTGATCCCTCTTTTCCTCTACCGGTTCCCACAGGAAATCTCTCATTAACTTCTCTAATTTATTTGCAACCTTCATTGGAATTTTAAATACCGATAGAAAAAATATAGGTAAATTAGCAAGCGTGGCCTTAATAAGAGTAATTCTCTCACCAAGAGAGAGGTAGTTCTTTTTCCATGACACCAGTCTTTTTTCAAACCTTTCCACCACCGGGTTCCAAAAGCTCTCTCTCATGCGATTATCACCTAAAGGCAACCCCAAGTAGTTCAAAGGCCATCCCGAGACTTCACACCCCAACACTTCAGCACTCTCTCTGATCTCTCCCTCCTCCAAATTCACCCCCACAACACAACTTTTCCCAAGATTAACCTTCAAATTGGATATTTGCTCAAACAATTGTATCACCGACTTCAAATTCCTAATAAAGCTCACATTACTACCTTTACAAAACAGAATCGTGTCGTCAGCAAACTGCAAGTGAGTAAGGGGGGTTTCCACCCTCCCAACTCTCCAGCCTCTAATGAGCCCCCTAGAATCTGCTCTGTAAATCAATTTCCCCAAAACCTCCGCAATTAGAATGAACAAGAAAGGAGAAAGGGGGTCTCCTTGTCTTATACCCCTACTAGCTGGAAAGAAATCTACCACTGTCCCATTCACTAGCACTAAGTAATGACAATTTCGGACACAACCCATGATCCACTTACACCATCTAGCACCGAACCCAAATTTAGTTAAAACGTTCCTAAAAAATTCTTAGTCCACCAAGTCATAAGTCTTTTCCAAGTCCAACTTACAAACCACTCCCTTCTTCTTAACCCTTTTAAAGTTTTCCACACTCTCATTAGCAATTAAAATCAGATCAGTAATTTGTCTTCCATTCACAAAAGSTCCTTGGTAGTGTGCAACGATATCTGGCAAAACCTTCTTCAGCCTCAAAGACAACACTTTTGCAATGATCTTATACAAGCTATTAACCAAGCTAATTGGCCTAAAATCCTTCAGGTGGGAAGCATCTTTCTTTTTTGGAATTTAGGCTATAAATGTAGAGTTCACACTCGGATTGACAATTCCTTTCCTGAAAAACTCCTCAAACACCTGCAAAAGATCATCTTTCAAAATATCCCAACAGTCCTAATAAAAATCCACTGTGAACCCATCCGGCCCTGGGGCTTTTGTTCTATCCATAGAAAATACAGCCTCCTTGATCTCTTCTAAACTAAAGCTTTTCTCCAACCTTCTCCTGTTCTCCACCCCTACATTTGGCCAATCCAATCCTTCTACCCACACCCTTCTACACACAGGCCTTCTTAGAATAGATTGGAAGTGCTCCACACAAGCCTCGACAATCTCCTCTTGATGCACTAGCTCAACTCCATCTACTACCAATTTGGAGATCAGGTTCTTCCTTCTCCTGCCTTYTKCTAGAGAGTGGAAAAACCTAGTGTTTCTGTCCCCCTCTTGCACCCATTTGCACCGAGATTTTTGCCCCCAACTAATTTCCTCCTTGTGCAGGCAGTCTTCTTAAATGTCTCCTGAGCTCAATGTCTTCCTCTCCAAGTTCTCCCCTTTCTTCTTTAGAGTCAAGGCTTTCAATCTTATCCAGCAGATTTCCTTTTATTTTTTCTCTCCTCCCAAACTCCACCAAATTCCACTCATTGATTTTTGCTTTCAAAAATTGAAGTTTCTTATGGAATTTCATCCTCTCCCATTCCACCAATGGGTTACACTCATACCACCACTCCCTCACTTTGTTAGTAAACCCTAGGTGGAGTAACCACATATTTTCAAATCTAAATGGGGTAGGACCTCCACACCTTTCCTCCTTACATAACACTATGGGCCAATGATCGGAGGTCACCCTTGGAAGAGCTCTAGAAGCCAAGGTTCCCCAATGAACTTCCCAATCTAGAGAGAACAAGAATCTGTCCAGTTTAGAGCAAATGGGTCTAGATTGGAGATTTGACCAAGTAAATGTCTTATGGGCTAGGGGATCTCTTTAAGCTCAAAGTTATCCACAATGCTGTTAAACTTCCTCATGCTTTTTGTCACCCTCTGGTTAACCTTATTGGATTCTTCCGAGAATCTAATCACATTGAAGTCCCCACCCATGCACCAGGGTCCATCCCACAACCCTCTAACATCCGTCAATTCCTCCCACAACTCCTTTCTCTTTCTGTAGTCATTTGGTCCGTAAACATTTGTGAGAACCCACGTAAAATTACCCTCATGCTGCTTAAACTTTACGGAAACCGAGTACTTTTTGATCAACTCCTCCAAACCTTCAACCACATCCCTCTTCCACATTGTTACAATCCCCCCGGATGCACCCCAAGAGGGGGCAGCCACCCAATTAATCCCCCTGGCTTTCCAAACACTTCGTGCCCAATTGTTATTAAACTCCATTCTCTTAGACTCTTGCAACARCACAATGTCTGGGTCAAACCGTTTTATTACCTCTTTTATTGTCGCTCTCTTCCTTGCACTCCCAATTCCCCTCACATTCCAA